CCGCTGCCAGGCAGCCTCGGCGGGGAGCGTGCGGGGACTTTGCCTTCAGAATAATTTGCAGGACCGAGACGGCTCTCCGATCGCCCTTTCTGCTTCTTCCTCGGCCCCTCCCTTCAGAAAGGAAGAGCCCACTTTGGAAACAAGCGGCACCTGCGGCGCCCCGGCAAAGCCAGCCGCTGACTGACGGCGGCCGGGCATGTGCCGTCCCTTCTGGCAGTTGATTCCGGGCCTGTGTGGAATAGAAAGACAGCTCTTGATCTGACTGGTGGAAAGGAAAGCGAAGACTCCTCAGGGTTTCCGAGGAGGACCGGAGCGGCTGCTTTAGTAAGTAAACTGTGCTACTGTTTCTTGTCTCTAAGGGAGGCGTATGCTGGATGCTCCTTCCCCGATGGTGTGGACAGTTGGTTCGTTTCACCAGGGAAGAACTTATATAACTTCAGTAGTTCCTATTTGAGAAGTGGTTTGCTGAGCAATTTGTATTTATTTATTAATGAATTATTATTTTTTATTTATTTTTTTTTTTTTTTGAGGAAGAGCACTTAAGAGCACTTCTATGTGGGCAGCCTTACTGGTAATCGGATTTTTGAACGCTTATTGTTCAAGGGCTGTGGGCTGTTGGAAGCCCGGTTGGTGAAACGTTGGTTGGTAAGATTTGAGGACAGTTACCTAGAAAAAAAGCTTGAATGTTCTAATCCAATTGGCTCCCTTCTCCTGTCACCTTTCACTTCAACCCTAATCCACCGAAACTCACATCTTTCTCTGATTTGGTTGTTTCTGATTTGGTGGCTTTATCTTTAGTTCTGAAAAGCACTAGCAGGAAAAAAAAAGTGGGTCACGGGAAAGTTAATGAAGATGGTGTAGAAGACCAGATGAAAATCTTGTTGAGATTTCTTTATGACCTTAAATAGGTAATAGGTGGAGGAAAATTTCTGGAACGAGCAGAGTTGGAGAATGTGGATGAACTTAATTTGGAGAGAGAATGTGAAAAATGCTTTGGAGGGAGGGCAGGAGCTGAGACTGTGACTTTGACACAGCAGGTTATAAACTGTGACAGGGACTCAGCAGCCAGTGACAGGTTTAAGGTGTCTCCTAAGGCAGAATATCTCTGCATCAAAACTTTTGCAGGCAATATTCCTCTTGGGGCTAACGTCACCATGTCAGCAGCTGCAGCCTTTCTGTAAAAACCAGTAGGACACTCTTCTTTCTAGGAAAGGGTTAATGGTATCTTTTAAAAAGATATGTAGTCTCCCATTTGCCAATATTTTGTAATATCTAAATAAAACCTTTGTGTTATGTCAGGAAAAATAGAGTCGAGTCAGTTTGTTTTGCAGGAGAGTAAGAGAATCAATAACATTTCAGCATTTTTTTCTTTATCACTGCCAAATGGATTCTGAATCTAATTCTTCTTGCATTGTTACTTATACAGTAGGTACAGTAGGAATTGCAGTTTAAGTAGAACAGAACTGATTTTTTAAGAAATTCAAAGTTCTTTGACACGGTAACACTTATACTGACTAGAGCACCAGAGTGATTAGAAAAAGTTTCTCTTTTTTATCTTTAACTTTCGATTTTCCCTATAAGTATAAAACACGATTTTCTGAAAATAAAAACCACTTACAAGGAAAAACCAGATTGAAAATTAAACTACTTATCCCATAGATAATTTCTTTTAATAAAGAAGCTTATTATAAAATGATACTTAAGGGTTTTCTTGTATTTCCATTGTTGATAATGGTTAAGTGAGAAGATTTTCACCCTTACATTTGATCAAGTAAGTATAAAAAAGGAGTTGTATTCACTGAGCATTAGTTTTAAAAATTATAATAGTAAACTAATGTACATTGGTTAACAATGGTTAAAAAAAGGTAAAGATCTTTTAGAGTTATTCTGATTCTTCAGTGTTGAAAGCTCTGAATATCTTGGGACATAAGTTTTCAGGATGATGAGTAGGACAATAGGACAGTTGATGAATCTGTTGACTTGAAGTTACCATACGTGAAAATCACTTGGGAAAGATAAGTCATTGTTCCTTGAATATTACTTTATTTCCTCCCCAAATGGATTTTCTTAGAGGTATTACTGCTTGCAGCTGCCATTTCTATTATTGGTTTTAAAATGAATTTAAATAATTTAAATCGAAGCCCTTGGTTGATCAGATCTGAATTATAGCATATGACCTCTACTCATTTGTGACCTCAGATAGCTGAGAGGGTTTCTGCTATTTGAAGAAAATGTATGTTGAAAAATAAAAGGGAAGATTGCACCTAAGTAGTCAAATTTATGAGTGGTTCCAACACATTATTACATATATACTATAGGGACATACTTTCCTCCGTAGAGAAGACATGACAGAATTGTTCATCCCTGTTGGATTTCTGAAAGCAAAGATTTATAATTGACATTAAAACTAACCTGACATACATGCTGCCTTTGTAATAATTATGTCATAGTGCTGAGGAAACAGCTTGAATTAAAGCTGTTTCTAGTAAAGCTTGTTCATGTATTTGATTACTATTAATAACAGAGAAAATTATCAAAGCAGGGTGGGGAGATTAAAATTGTTAGCTTTTTTTGCCACCAGCTTTCTGTGGTATACAGAGGTAGTTGCAACTTTAAAGTTGAAAGAAGAAAGTTGCTAGTGTCAGCAGTTATGTGTTTTATTATGCAATTGTTCTTGTTATTCAGATCAGATAATGGCCCGATGAAATACATAAGCAGTCTGCAGGGAATGAATGATTAATTCCTCTAACGTGCTTACGAAAGGAGTTCTTACTAATAAAGTGCTATTTACCTGCATTTGCTTACACTTGCAGTTGGGGAAAGCAAATATACTTTCCTTTCCTTTAATATTAACATCTAATTTATAAGTCTGTGTCTGTCACTATAGCAACATAAAGATGATTTTGTGGACCACATGGCTTTGTATTTTATGGAACTCTGGATATGATCATTATGTACTTAAAACACTTAATTCAGAGAGTAAAATTATATTAGATGTGATATCAGAAGATTCAATTATTTATAAAAATGATTTTGTTTTGTCTAGTACAAAATAGTCTATCTTTTCTGTGTTTTACTAGTAGGATGCATGAAAGCAAATGTATGCAGATATAGAGTTATGCAAGTGCAAATTTTTCTTTAATAATGTAAGGTGAACACCTAAAATATTGCTAGTTATGTCAAAGAATTAACAGAATGCTATCATAAAATCATAGGAATCTCTCATATAGAGCATACTATAATTGTGGTTGCTACTGGTGTAAATTATTTTACTGTTGTAGAAGTATCATTAGTGTAGCTTTTAATATCAGAACGTTTCTAAAACTGGATTATAATAGTGGTGTAGGGACAGGTTTTATATGGTAATTTGAGAACAGGTGACCGGAAGCGTATGCTACATCTTGGAAATTGACCTATCTAATGTCATTTTTAAAGAAATTTCTGAAAAATGTGATTTTCAAAATGGCATAAATATATCTGTCAATATATCTATCAATTATGTATTTTTAGCTGCCTCATCATTAATATAACAGATCACTTTAGTTAAGGATTCCTCTGTGGTTTGGTGAAAATACTTTAATTTCGGTAATCTCTTTATGGACTTACACCTATCCTGAGTTTAATAAACATTAACAATGCAAATGATATCATACATATTCAATCATGCTAATTTTAAAAAGTGAAAATTAGATGAGTAGGATTTTGTACCCAGTTGAATGTCATTTGAATTTATTCATTTTCTTATATTTAAGTGCCGTTTCTTTACAACTATCATCAGTTCTTTAGATTCTTATGAGGGTTTTCAAAAGGAATTTGATATTGGTAATAAATAAATAAATTCCCACTGGTACAATAGAACAATATAGAAATTACCTATACTGGCCACCAAGTTTTCAATCTCTTAAAATGTACTGAGTGAAGAAAATGAACAAAGAATCAAAAATGAACATTACCTCCTAGATGAGCACTTCACGTGATTGTGGAGACAAGTGTTTTGAATTTTCCTCTCATCCTTACAGTTGATGGTGTGCCCCCTGTGAGGTTCCCGGGACTTCCTGTACCTGACTGTTTTCCATTGTCAAGTAGTAAAGACAGTGACCTAGCAATGTGAGCTCCTTCCAATTCAAAGTCTTGTGCACAAAGTTATGTTACCGACATAACTGATAGTAACACTTAGCAAATCAGCAGAATATACTGTGGCAGTTGGGGGAGCCATATAGGAATTAGACAGAGCTATCTGGTTTGCAAGAGGGCAAAGAATATTGTCCTGAAGCCATGTTAGCTCGTGCTGGATGGACACTTGTTGTATGGACTGAGTATTTATTTGGAGTATCTTTGGAGGAGGAGGACAGTAGAGAATATGGAAGGATGTAGGCTAAGTTCCTCTCAACTACCCCTTGCTCCTGTTATGGAAACTTTACATGGATAAGTGTTAATGCCTTTGGATCTTATTACTCTAGTCAAGATCAGAAAGGCATGAGAAGATAAAAGTAAAACGAGGGCCTGATGTCTTTGGCCTTCCCTTTTTTGCCCTCTTAATTTAAAATGATGTTTATGTTATTATATTACATTTAGCTAAAAATGAATAAGTATATTTCTATTTTTTCTTATATACATGTTATAGACTGTCAGAGCTAGAAAGTACCATTGAAAAACTTACATGAGCCCTTCCATTTTAAAGAGGAAATTGAAGACGTCAAAGATGAAAAGATTTAAAGTTGGACTGAATCTCCCAATTTCACAAAGAGGTTTCACATCCCAATTAGTAGCATCTAAGAGGCTATACTGCAAATAAATGCACAGACAATTTATACACCTGTTAAACATTATCAATAGGATAATTACATTGATTGTGTAAGATACAATGTATTTTCTCTAAAAAAATTGTAACAACTTTTCTGATCATGAAAAATGGGCACAGCAAATGAATATATGCAATGTCAATTATATGTGGTTCTATTAAAGAAAACCAAGAATTTATTCATTGATAGAATACTTGTAATGAAATTGGAAACTTCACCCCCCCAGCAAAATTAATATGGCCAATCCTTTTCTTTCTGTAATATAAATGTCTGGGTTGTAGCAAGTAGACCTATATCTCTATAAAAGGTATATTTTAAATCTTGGATACTGAGAAATCATGCTCTATTTTATTTTTTAATTTGATAGGTATAGCTGATATAACTAATTAATTGTAGAGACACTATTTGCTTTTCATTTTGTATGTTTGCCTGTGTGCATGTATGTAAGCGTGTTTAAATACATCTGTTCAAAGTGGAAGTTAGTGAAAATGGTGTGCTTAAAAAGTTTAGGAGTATATGCGC